TGAATACCCTATTTTGGGGGAGCGATGTATTATAGGAATGTTCATACAGCTGCAGATAGTCTCAAAATAAACTTTTTATTTGGATCACTTCGATCTGTACTCTGGCTAGGTTTTGGAAGCTAATTAGCCACACACTCCCTTATCAAAGACCTTCTGCAGGAAAGAAGCAAGACCAAGATGACTATTGATCATTTTACATTTTTTCATTGGTTTTTAATATTGCTAAGTATTAATATTCTCTACGGAAGTGTTTATGCACCATGGCAACTTTAAGATGCAACTCCCAGAACTCCCTAGCCAGCATTCTGGAAATGAAAGTCCACAAATTTTAGAGTTGCCACGGTGGATAAGTGCTGCTCTAGAGTAACCTTTTGAATCATATTTGTGAGATAGTGGTTGGAAGCATTGCTCTTTGTTGAATCTATGCCTGCTTGTAGGGATGATTTAGGAGTGTAACTATGGATGATTGTGTCTTTATACCCTAGCAAAAAATTACACAAGTCTTGTATTCTGTGCTTTTTAAATATTGTTATGATAACCACTGGAGAGATTATCTAAAGTTCTTGGATGAAATATCATCCATATGCTGATGATGCAGTTTTATTTGAATCAGAAAAGACTGTGTATGTCCTGAATAAAATACTGTATATGGGTCAGGGGTGAGTTCTAAAATTTTTTACTAACAGTTCTGTGGGCATGGCTTATTTTGTGGGTGTGGTTTGATGGTCATGTGGCAAACAATTCTTTAGGATTTAGCAGAGGTAATGGTCTACCAGGCTTTTAACTGCTTGCAGAGCTGTATTGGTCTACCCATTTGTTATTGGAGAATACTGGTATACCCAGTTGTTTTTGGAGTGCACTGTCTACCACCACACTGCCTTTTACTGCTGATCAGTTGTAGGGAGGCCCTTTGAAGCACCGCGGCAAGAGTTTAAAACAGTTTTTTGCCGCTCTGCCGCCACCAAGTGCATCGGAAACTGCTTTCAGGCAGCTTGGCCTCAATTGACAATCTACCACCACTGAGTGGTTTACAAGGAGCGGAACGGTTCTAGCCGATCAGTTGGGAGTCTTCTTGGCTTCTCAATATAACACTAAGGTATCTTGTTTTTTTTTTTCCTCTTCTTTGTCAAGTGAGCCCTGATTTTTTCCTTCTAGCCAATCAGCTGGGAGGCAGCGAATAGATTGGGGGCAGGGCTAGGCAGAGGTGGTATTTACCGGTTCTCTGAACTACTCAAAATTTCCACTACCGGTTCGCAAGAACCGGGAAGAACCGGTAGCAACCCACCACTGATATGGGTGCAGTAATGGGTTGGATGAGGCTAATAAATAGAAGCCATTCCTAGCCATGCTAATGTATATGACCTACATTAACTAATTAAGCATCACTGTATTATTACTGATTTAAACTTGATTTATGGAAGGTTTCATATATATTATATAAATATTACATTGTGAGTGTTCCTTTTCTATCTCACTGTCATAGTAGATCAATAGCAATAGCACTTAGACTTCCACTTAGACTTATATATCACTTCACAGTGCTTTTACAGTTCTCTCTAAGCGGTTTACAGAGTCAGCATATTGCCCCAATAATCTGGGTTCTCATTTTACTGACCTAGGAAGGATGGAAGGCTGAGTCAACCTTAAGCCGGTGAGATTTGAACTGCTGAAAATCAGCTGAGGTAACCTGCAGTGCTGCATGTAACCACTGCGCCACCTCGGCTCAAACCAGGAATCAATTTACACAGGAAGGCAAAGACTACTTTTATTGATATTGGCTACACTGACAGGATCTTGTAAGCCTGATTTTGCTGTATCTCCTCCTTCTAAAGTTCAGTGAAATAGGGATGACTGAGCGGCTTCTGAGTGTTCGGTTCTTTGTTCTGGGTCTAAAAAATGCCTTTAGCTCTTTTTGCCTTGGCAATGGTTCTTGCATATCTCCATCACTGACATTTTCCTGGCTCTCTATAACTGCTTAGAATAGCCTTGACTAAAGTGGTTTATAAATATGTAAATAAACACAAAGAAATCAATAAAATGTTTAAATAAACAACTAAGTGCATTTAAATAAACAACATTGTTACATTGACATATTTGTTTAATTTAAAAGGTTAAAGGACCAAATCTATAAAGAGATGCATGGATCTTAAGTTTTACTTACAGTTAAATTCTGTATGTATAAGCAGTAGAGGAATATAGAAAATTTGGAGAATGAAATCTACTGAGCTAATATGTCTATCCTGGCCAGTTTTTACAGAGCCATGATTGAGAGCATTTTAACAAACGGCATCACTGTTTGATTTGGTGGCACCAATGCCTCAGATAGAAAGTCCATACAGAGAGTGGTAAGGACAGCTGAGAAGATTATAGGAAGCTCAGTTCCTGTGATTCGGGATACTGTTTATAAGCGCTATGTGCTTAGAGTTCAAAGCATTGAACTCTAAGACCTCACACACCCACTTCATGGTCTGTTTCTGTTGCTCCCCTCTGGGTGGAGGTTTCAACGTATTTCTAGCAGGACTACCAGATTCTGTAACAGCTTTGTGCCCTATGCCATCCATCTGGTAACATAATTTTGTATTTATTTATTTATTTTATCATGTTTATGTAGTGTATATTGGAGGTGGTGACCCTTTGAGAGCTGTATGCAACAAAATTTCATTTTAATGTATGCCTATTAGTGTACATCCAAAGTGACAATAGAGTTATTATTATTATTCTAAAATCCAGAATACAAACTAAATTAACATCATTATCATACAGCTACATAGGGTAATTACAGTACAAAATCCCAGGAAATAATTTGGATGCTTTAAGGAATTACTGATAACTGCTTATGTTTGTACTTCTTTACTTTCTGAGGCACTTTTTAAATTTTGAATCCAAACCATCATACATCCTTAATATATACAATTAAATAATCATTACATATTTTCGTAGACAATGAATTTGGACAAAGAGTTGTCTGATGCAACCCTTTTTTCCTTTCTTCATTCCCCTCAACAAAATATCATTTCCCACTTGAATTTGCTTCATCTGCTTAATTTTATTTCCCAAACTCCATGTTCTCACATCATTCTAACTCACTAAGCCACAATTTATCCAATTCATAAAATATTCTGGATTTGTACATGTTGAACCATAATCTTTGTGGCTGGGCTCACATAATACATCAGGCCATAAACCAGCCGCTTTCCACAAAGGTGCTTAACCATAACCAGAATTTTTATGCAGCTGTGTGGCATTCAAAAAATATTTTTACTGGGGATGTTCAAAATTTGTCAATTTGGGAATAGGTCTCTCTAGAATGTTTTATTTCTTGCCAGACCATGACATTGAGGGTGGGTGGGTGGTTCAATGGTTTCCATTGAACTCAAAGCATCTCAAGAGATTCTGGTGATCCAGTCATAAAACAGCTCTCTTTGGCCTGTAAAGTTATGTTTGGAACATCTCATACTACTTATGGTTTGGAGGATTAATTTCCAGGAACTGCTGAATACTTCCATAACTGTCAAGCAAGAGGAAAACTAGAACATTCCAGAATTACCTGGAAGAATCCGTTCCCAGATCAACAAATCTTGCACAACCCTAGTCCTTGTTTTTCCTTTCTTTAAGCTAGTAGTGCTCCCTCCTATTAACCAATGAAATAATGCCCAAACCAGCAGCTAGCAAGACTCTTAACAAAATAACAGAATTGGAAGGGACCTTGGAGATCTTCTAGTCCAACCCCCTGGTCAAGCAGGAGATCCTATACCATTGCTTCTTGTGTTGCTTCTTTGATAGTCCCTTGCTATATTTGTTTTGGGTTGCAAAGAAGAAAGTAATAAACTTCAAGGGACTACTGGATAGGAATGCAGCAGAGCTGCTTGCAAGAGATGTCCATAGTTCACCACAACTTTGTTTTAAGTAGGCAGAAGAAACTCCAGGATACAGGACAAGATAGGCATTCTCACAAATGAAGAACCATCCATCCTGTGACTCTACAAGAAATACTCTAAGCATTCTTCACAGTATTTCTTCGGGAGCAACAACTGAATATACAAATTTCTGCAGCTAATTGCTTTGGTTTGTAAAACCCACTGGAAATCTTACAATGTGATCTTTAATTAGAGAAACTCTCATATATGGTAGGGACTTTAGCCTGGCATTTTGTTACCTCTAATTGTATTTGCCCATGCTTTTCATCCCCTTTAATCCATGTACATCTCTGTCTACCAGATTATAACTCCCTGGGCGAATACTGTACACAAACAGGCAATGTTTTAGAATACCCTACACACTAATAACATTTTAATGTTATTAAAAAGAGGTAGGTAGAATACAGTACTACGGCACTGTACAATCAGTAGCAAATATGCCATCTAAATATCTATGAAATGCCACAAGTGTGATTTCAAATCTGGTGTCTCTGGGTATTATGAATGACTTGCACTTTCAAATTCAGAACTGTTCTGCAAGGAAGCTAGGCAATTTCAAGATGAGTGTGCACATCAGTGGTGGGTTGCCCCCAGTTTGGACCAGTTTGCAAGAACCGGTAGTAAAACCGGCAGGAGGCCCCACCCACTGCCCTGGATGTCATCATCAGCAATCTGCGCATGCAATCCCGTTGCAAACCAGTAGTAAAAGTAAGTAGAACCATCCCTGGTGCACATGTTCCACAGGACTAAAACAGCCTTCCCTAACCTAGACACGCCTTGATGTATCGTGATTAGAACCACCAGAATTCACACTCAGCATATATGGAAAGGGTACATTAGAGAAACCTGCTGCAAGGATTTGCCAAGCTATGCTTTGAGAAAGTCAAACTTGGTTTTCTTTTGTCCAAGATAATGTGATATTCATCTAATCTTCAGCTGATTCCTGAGGCAATTTACAATTATGTTTAGCTGATCTGGTGTGGTAATAGTGGTCTCTCTTATTCTGAGAGTTTTTGCCATGGCTCTTCCTGAAAGACTTCACTGACCATTCTGTTGGTGATACAATCAAATAAATTCCTGAGCAGAGGCAAGCTGTTCATTTATTGGCCAACTGAGGTTGTTGGCAATATTTTGAAGAACAAAATAAAACAATTCTGAAAAACAGAATGTCTGGCTCTCGTTCAGTAATCAAACCATCATACATACTGTTGATGTCCAATTCTTCCATGGTGCTCGTTCTATGTGATCTTTATACAATAGTTCTCCAGTAGATATTCATCTTCTGTGTCTTTTATTATAGCCACATTTTCATTAAAAGGTCCTTTGATTTCTGCAATGTTCCTAAATAAATCTCTGATCCTCCTATTTAATTACAATAGTCAATTTCTTTGTATTGCTTATTTAAATATAAATTGTTTTTTTTTTCTTGCTGTTCTCTGGAACAAGTGTTTAATTGAGCAATTTCTCTATCTTCTGTTTACTTTTCATCTTTTTTCAGCTATTACAGCAATAGCACTTAGACTTATATACCACTTCACAATATTTTGCAACCCTCTCTAAGCAGTTTACAGAGTCAGCCTATGGCCCCCAACAATCCGGGTCCTCATTTTACTGACCTCAGAAGGAAGGAAGGCTGAGTCAACCTTGAGCCCCTGATACTCAAACTGCCGAACTGTAGGTAGCTGACAGTCAACAGAATTCGCTTACAATACTGCATTCTAACCACTGTGCCAGCAAGGCTCATTATGAATATTAATATTCAAATGTATGAATATATATTTATCAATATATCATTTTTGTACTTTTGGAATGTTATTTTTGACTCCTTTAGTCTAACACTGAATGTGTGGCTTCCAGGGTGTGGATGGCTTAATGATTCACCATGAGAAATTATAACTAGCAGGAACAATTACCGCGTGCCACAGGACTTTCCTGGTCAGTAAGACCTTAAGACATGACCACCAGGAATTTCAACACATATAGATGGTATCAGAATGGAAAAGGCACCAATTCCTCTTGCCTAAGAGGAATTAAATTGAATAACTTTAAGCCTAATTATAGATTATACTGTTAAATAGATTAGATCTATAGATATCCAGTAGTAAACCAATAAGAAACTACCATTGCAGAATATTTTCTCTATTAATCCATTGTATGCTGGGGCATTTTAGCAGAAATGTAAGAATTAAGAAAGGAGACTCTCTCCCTAAACATGTTATATTCACCCAAAATGGTTTTTTTTTTTAAAAAAAATCCTATTGGCTATGAGTGTAACTGAAGCAGTAGTGTTAGAAGTGCAACCCTACTATCTGAGCATCTTTCTTCATCAGGATATGTGATTCATTAACCTTTGAACTTCAGACTTCTCCTCAGCTGCTCCAATTCCAACACTGTATTTGCTGACCTTAGACTGCCAGCAGTTTGTCTTTGTTCGGGAATTAGGAAAGTCTTTGACAAATTCTCTGTGCTAAAGTTCAGACTTCTTATCCGGTAAATATACCTTCAATCTAGGCGTCACTTTATTTAATATGTTTACAGAGGATACATAGCATCTAAAAGACTAAAACCAGACTTTAATTGAACAGGAAGGGTAAATTCCTTTCAAAATTGCATTGTCCTAAATTGCTGGCACTCTGATTTTAAAAAGCATTCTTCTCAATTCAGTGATCTTTACTTTTGTCGAGACTACTTGGTTACTAATTGCTTTATTTCTCCAAATCTATTGCAAAACATTTATTTCAGCTCTTGTTTTCGTTTACCACTAATATTAAAATCTCATATCCAAACAGTTTTTGGCCACCATGGATAGTGTTGATTGGAGTGATAGTCTTGTTGTGATGATAGTATGAGTAGATAAATGTGGAGAGGTTACTCTCAATCATTGATCAATAATCCTAAACCATTTGATGGAGGGGAAAAAAAAGGATGAAACAGTCACAATAGTAGATATAATTGATTAGTGTGCAAAACTCAGTGGGGGGAAAATTGGTAGGTAAAAAGGAGCAAGAGCTTTTATTTCTTTACTTCTTAACCTAGGGCTATCTTATACGGCTGGCAAAAAATATCTAGTCTTTCCAGCCATTCTAGAGGTCATCTAGATTTCTACAGTCCAGCCTGTCTAAGCAATGAAAACACTTCAGTCTGAGCTTGCCATTAAAACTAAATATATTGCAAGATCGTTTGCAAGCATTATTCTTTCAAAGGACTGGCTGCTGGATGAAAGCAGAAACTTCTTTTACAACTTCAGCTCCTATATAATTATGGAAAACAAACTTTTGTTGAAATTCCAATAGATGACTCTGCATGATGTAATAGCTCCGATTCCATGCTAAATTAACATATTTAACAAACCGATTCTATTAACAGTAGGACTACTGTAAACTACATGCTAGGTTAATTACTCCAAAAGTAAACATATGGGATAGAATGGTTAAATCCTTCAGCTGATCAGTTCTTTAAAAGTTGCCACCCACCAAAAAAAAAAAAAGGTAATCTTAATTAGTGTCCATTGAGATTTTGAGAGGATTCATGAAGGAGATAATTAGAGAAAAAAAAAGGATTAAGCTTTGCTCTCTGTGAGTGCAGGGTCTTACTTACATTACTTTAGAGAAAATGAAAAGAAGAGGAGAAATGCATGATTAACATACTATCCCACAGCACTTTTATGTTCAGAATCTCATAGGATCAAGATGTAGTGTAAATATTTCAAAGGTAGCTGATGACACTTAAAGCTACTTTTTAAATTAAGGCATAGCAATTTACAGGGTTGTTGTCATGTAAGGCAACTTTGTCGCTGCACAAGACTTGGCACGGGTCATATTTCTTACCTTCCTGGAACTGAAGCATTATGCACACTGGAAGATGTTAGCAGCACTGACAGTTTCAGATTGCGCAATATATATGGGTTTTTTTTTCTGAATTGAGATATAGCAGTCATTTTGGAACAAGTGAAATCTGACGTAAGTGAGCAGAGACAGTTGGTGTTCAGAATGGAGAATTGATTGTTAAAACTTAATTTGGCTCTCCCTGTGTCATAGCGCCTCTCTGCCTGGCACAACTTGCACACCTGCCTGGCAACATAAAATTACTACTAAAATAATGCTTCCAATTGGAATACCTGGAAGCAATACTTAAGATTGAAAAACAAAAATGCCAAGAACCGCCCCAATATTTTTATTGTATCATCACAGATTTCAATGGGGCTTTCCTTCCATCAGTGGGTGTATAATTGTTGCCCAAGCGGCAGTTCTGTCATCTTTGCTTAAATGAAGATGAGTTAAGGCAAAAATACCCAAAAACATATTCTTCTCCAGAGCCCCATTCTGGATTATAGAAGTACCTTTATCAGTCCCTTTACAAAAGGTCATCACAGCCTAATGCTCTCCTAATGTCTACATTAATGGCAGTCCTGATGTCTTCGACAAATCCAGGTCTACAAGTCATTTGAAATCAGTCATAGAACTGAAGAGTCCTCTAGATGTATGGGGTGAGGGGAGGTAGAGAAAGTTGGAGTGAGAAGGGGGAGATACAGAAAGAAGGAAGGAAAGAAGCAGAGAGCCTACAGATTTAGATGAATATATGTGAAGGGAAAAGGGTAAAAAGAAGACAAAAATCCCCTGCCTTTTTTGCCTGCTTTCTCCGTGGGGATTTCCTTAAGAGGCTCAGACTTGTAAAGAAATAAAACCAATGTGGTTCTCAAATACCACATCAACTCAATCAGCTAGCAACTCTGGTCTTGTGGAACATATCACTGTACTGTGGTTTCATCACCAGTATTTTGGTTTTAGCAATAATCCCTGATTAACCTCACTGACTTCAATGGAAAGAAAATTCATCCACAGGATGCTGCAAACTCATGTCTCTTGATGAGTTACCCTGGGAACTTTCTTGCATGTTTTGTGGGTTATCCAACTACTTTACATCCTGATTCTCAGCAATCACACCAAGAATCACATGGCTTTCAAAACATGGTCTGATTCGGCCTACAAGCTCTGCACAGGAAAATGCTTCAGATCACGTCAGAAAAAATTGTCCTGTTAAGCCACAATTGCCTCTCTGTGGTCTGAAATAAAAGACATCCAATATCGAGATTTGAACCCAGGATGCTCTGAATACAAATCCGTGGGTCCTTCACAAGTTTTTCCACACTATCCAGCTTCTTGCAGAGTTTACCACCAGGTCCAGCATCGTCTTCTTTTAGCTAGTTCCTTGCTTATTGCTTCTGGGAATTTCCAAGAGAAATCCTGCCAAAAGAGAAGTATTTTCATGGTTGCCTTTGTCTCCACCCTAAATGACTCCTTCAGTATGAATAATGTTAAGACTTGCATCACAAGCCAGGTGCAGCCAATTTGATCTGTCTGCTGGACCCAGACCATTGCTCCTACCAAGTGCAATCATCAAATACTTGATCATGCAGCAAACAATAATCTACTGAGATAAGCAACCATTAGTGATTGGGTAGAAAGAATCAACTCAGATCAGGCCTACAAAGGATATTGGTACACAGATAGCCTGGACACTGTAGTAATAGGGGTGTCCTCCCATTATGATTGGTATTTAGCAAAGAAACAGCAATCATATATTTGATGCTCTCTGAGCTTATTTGGTTCAACCATGAGCAACAAATGTTCTCCTTTATCGGAATCGTATCATTGCTGTTTGTTGTTTAATCTAACCTGTGACGTAATCAAGGCAGGATTTGGGACAGACGTCCAGGTCACACTCACAGAGGGAGGTGCAATCATGGCAAATATGTGACTTGATGTTGAAATAACAAAAGTAAATCATATTACCATCTTTAGAAAAAGAAAACTAGGATCCCACAAAACCAGAGTTTAAAATGTTATCAAGCTGCTCCACTGACCCTAATATGATTTAATTTTTCCTCCTTCTAATAATAGCTGCTTTATTATTATTATTATTATTATTATTATTATTATTATTATTATTATTATTATATTATTATTATTATTAGTATTATTAGTATTAGTATTATTAGTATTAGTATTATTAGTATTATTAGTATTATCATTATTAGTATTATTATTAGCTTCTTTTTTAAAGTGAGATGTGAAGCAATATCATTCAATCCAATGTATGTTGACTCAGTTCCACGAAGTTTGATGGGACTTTCTCATTCCCGATCAGGCTTTTATTATGCAATTACCATGACCCATTCAGAGAAATCTACAGGACGGGGAAGCGAGTGAGGACAACATCCTTCTACTTCTAATCTTCTTACTTCTTCCCCATTATTTCTTCTGCTTTTTTTTTCTTAGCAGAAAAACATCCACTAAGAGTGTCATGCCAGAAGTTGTCAGACAGTGACCAAAGTATACTTAGCATCATACTTATTAAATAGTCTGAACCCAGACTTCTTAGATTTCTCAGATATGGTGCTGTTTTAGAATATTATAATTGCATTTCTTGATAGAAAAGAGCATGCTAGTGCATCCCTCTGTCTCTCTGTTTCTCTCTCATATCAGGCTAAAAGTGGAATAGATAGATAAGATAGATAGATTCCACCTTTATTTCTATATATAAATAACTGAAGGCAGCAAACATATTTAATACTTCTTCCTTCTATTTTTTTCCAAAACAACCCTGTGAGGTGAGTTGACTGAGAGAAAGCGACTGGCCCAATGTCCCCCCAACCTACTTTCATGCCTAAAGAGGTACCAGAACTCAGAGTCTCCTGGTTTCTAGCCTGGTACCTTTAACCACTACATCAAATATAGCTTAATAAGTTTTTGAAAGTGAATGCTAGGGCTGTGCATATAACATTTCTGTACTTTGATGCAAATCTTTTTGGAATAATTTTCACTTGAAATAAATAATGACCCTGTAGGGTTGATCAACTTTTTATCTGTTGACAGAAAATGTGCACATAACATTTTGATGCTTCACTCAGGCTAATTTTGAGAGTGACCTCAACTATCATGTCCCACTCGAATGTCAAACTATCTTGCAGCGGTCTCTGACTCGGAATGACTATTTAATTTTGAACAGATTTAACTACAAATTGTTCTTATAATCATTGTTAAGAACACTATAAGATTATTGAGTCCAAATGAGCCCCTCTCCCTGGTCATTTAGCGCCAAATAAGATCTTTCATCAGTTAGCTCATCTTCCTATTTCTGTGGAAAAGACATCCTCATTCAACTGCAAATATGCTGCTGGGAATGCCTGATTCAACCAGGGCTTCCCTGAAACTGCCTTCCGGAGCTTGGAAACCCAGAATTCCCAGATGACAAGGCTAAAGGCCAGGGAGGCTGGAACCGGGAGCTGCATTCTCAGACAGACAGAGACATCGGGGGAGGCTTTTAGCTCTTCCCTTCTTGTAATTTTCCTGCTAGAAACAAGCGAGGAAACACTTATCCACACTTGCCCCTTGAGTTCCTGCAAGTCCCGTTTGTCACAATAAAGAAGGGAGTACTTTGGGATCTGACTCACAGCACAACCCGGCCGGGGAAGATATTTGCACTGCCCGCTGGGCTATAGGATACCTGGCGCCTCTGGAGCCAGATAAGCAGGCCTCGCCCTACTCTTCACCCCTAAGAGAGCTTTGTGGCACAGCAAATCAGCCTGCCGTCCTTTCCCATCAAACCAGCGGTCCTGCAGACTTTCGTTGCACGGATACCGCGTGTGCCCTTTCTATACAAAACGTGCAGCTGCCAGACAAGGGGCGGGGGAAGCACGTCCACCTCCGCCCCCCCACCTCCCTTGATGTACCTGAAAAAGTGCCCGTGTCTCCCAGGAAAAAGGGCTGGGCTGGTCCCCCCCTTCTTCCCCGGGGGGGGGGAGGCAGGCCTTCTTCATTTACCGGGCCGGGGGGGGGGGATTCATTATGGCAGTGGAGACACCTCGGCCCAAGAAGCAGCACATCCAACCTGCTTCTTCGCCACAGCACGCGGACGCCCGTGCTGAAGTGAAAGGCTCGCGGGGCCGAGGACAATCGTCGTCGTCATCGCCGCGGGCAGATTTGTGCCCCAGAGGGAAACCCACGCGGCGGCTCCCTCCCTTCCCTTTTTGCCTGCTGCCTCCGGACCACGCACATCGCACAGACGGCGACCCGGGTGGCGGGCGTGGAGTGTGGGGGGGGGAGAGAGCGAGAGAGGGAACGAGGGATCGCCTCATCACGTTTCGACAGCAGCAGCAGCAGCCTCCCCCCCCCCCACCTTCCGCCTGCTTGTGTGGCCAGGAGCGGAGAGGCTGGAGCGTTGGCCAACACGTGAGGCTCATGTGATGAGGCGGGGAGGGAGGGAAGGGAGAGGCGAGGCTCGTCCCTCCCTCCGGTAGCAGCCAGACGTGCCTGGAGTCACAGGGTAAAGCGCGTCGGTCGCCTCCGCCCCCTCGCTCACATTTAACCCAGCCTTGCAGCCTTCCAATTACTCCTCTCAAGCTCGCCGGCGCAAGGGCGTCCCTTTCCCAGCCCGACACTCCAGGTAGCCGGGAGGACATGAGCAGCCGCCGACGTCGCCAACACCGCTAACTTGACTTCTCTCAGGCTCTCAGCTTTCGGCATTCCCTGTTCGCTGCTCCCGTGCGGCGGCTTCCTTTGAGGCGAACCCGGGTCTTTTCATTGGCTTCGCCTTGAGTGGGAAAAAGGCTGTTCCGGCCGGCCAGGTGCCAAAGCGAGCTTTCGGAGAAGCCGAAACCCCAATGGAAAGGATCCCCAGCGCTCAGCCTCCTCCCGCTTGTCTAGGCAAACTGGCTGCCCTCGAAGGCGGCGACATGTCCGGGTAAGAAGCGCGCGCCGAAGGGCTTGACCGGCTTTGCTTTCCACGGGAAAAAAAATCATCCGGTTCGGCTGCCCGGCGTTTGGCCCCGGAGACCTTCCTCGGGAGGACCACGACGCCTGCGCTAGCCGTCTTGGGGGTGTGGGGGGAAGAGGGGGAAGTTCGCCTTCTTACCGGCGAGTTAAAATATTGTTTTTAATTTAAAAAAACAACAACATATATTTTCTTCTTGTTGTCATCAACAGGTTGGACTTCGCTCACATGTATCAAGTTTACAAGCCCAGAAGAGGCTTAAAAAGAGGGGACGACAGTAAGGTAAATAGAAATTGCATGTTTGGCTTCAGTTTCTTCCCAGCTGGGGTGAATGAGAGTTGCCCCCCTTTTTTAGTGCAGAACTGGGGTTCTACTTTTAAAAGAGATTGTAGGTTTAAAAGAAAACCCCTCGCTTGTGGAGGAGAATGCATAAATTTGGGGGGGGGGTTTACAGGATTAGAGGTGGTTAGAGGATAAAATTATTGTAGTAGCCTCATACTGTGAAAATCTATTTGGTTACAAGGGTTGCCCAAAAGTAGTTCCCTGGTAAACTCTCTCCCAGAAAAGTATCTTGGTTCAGGAGATTTCCCTGTTTGCAAAGAAAATGTTTCTATCATCTTCCATTCAATTTCAGTTTTTTTTATCTAAACCAGTCCAGCTGTGAGTGATGTTGTTTTCCCCCCTTTCCTCGTTTTCCTTTCAGGAGACTTACAAGTTGCCTCACAGGCTGATTGAGAAGAAAAGGCGTGATAGGATTAATGAATGCATTGCCCAGCTGAAAGATCTTTTACCAGAACATCTCAAACTTACAGTAAGTAAAAAGCTGGCCACTGTCCAGACTTGTCTTCCTTTTCAGAGAGGTTAGGTTGAATGGATTTTTGTATGGATAAAAGCGCCATCTAAAGGATTTCTTGGTCACCGCGGATGAAAGTGAAAAGGGCTGCGTCTGGGTAGCATTGCAGTTTTGTCCCTCTTATGAGTGATTGGTCTTGTAATTCTGAAGAAGTTGCATGTGAGGTTGAGAGTATACAATACCTTAAATCTGACAGGAGACCACAATTTATTTTGGAATGATTGGGTAGCTTTGATTGCACCTTTTTCCCCCTATGTTACTATATCAAATTCAAATTGCTTCAAATTCCATGTTCTAATTTATCACAAACAAATGAACCTCCAGAACTTTCAAACTTAAAAGTTTCCTGTTAGATATCTGTGATAAGATAGGACTGCAATTAATGCGTGCTTAAAAAATAAAAGGAAAATGTTACTTCAGTTTCCATTTGAAAAATGAATCCTGATTTGGGCTTTGTATTTTGGAATTGTTTAAAAAAAACACTTTCCCTTTAGTTATGTAAAAATATTGTTTTATTTCTTCCAGGTTTTTTTTAAAACCTGAAATAGTTATATAAACATCACTGTATTTATTCGTGGGGTAGATTTAAGTAGCTTTAAATCAGAATAAAAGTGGATTTCATTGGGAACATTATGCTGTGTTTAAGTCAGTCCCTGCCCATTTCCTCCCATACTTTACCAGGACATATTGCTCCCACATTCTGTTTCCTTCAGCTAACCAACTCACTCCTTTCCTGTTTCCAGACTTTAGGACACTTAGAAAAAGCAGTTGTTCTTGAACTTACCTTGAAGCATGTCAAAGCATTAACCGGTCTTATTGAACAACAGCAACAGCAGATCATAGCCCTCCAAAAAGGTTTACATGCTGGTGAGTGCTTGTCTTTAACACCTTTCTTAGAGTCATAGATGCCTTTCACATCAGAATTCTCTATTTAAAAAATAGTGCTTCTACTCATGGTACAGACTTCTCGTGGTAAAGGATCTCTAATTTATCCTTGCCTCATTTTTTTTTAAAGAAAGAAAAATGAAACTTGGCAGCCTTCGTCCTTTCATTTTGAACTTATGTTCTTTTCATTCAGGGTGAGGTCTTTATTTAAGTTCTGAATACTTTTTTAAAAAAAGATTGGGCTACTGAGCCATGTATCATCTGTAGATCAAAAGGACTTCTTCTATTATATTCTAGCAGCCTAGAAATCTGGATTAGTTATTGCAGTTCTAAATTGTCAAGAAGTTCCTCTCTTGTTTCTTTAAGTCTGCTTCTTCAAGCTATATTCTGTTATCCTTTAAAGCAGTCCTCCGAATGTATTGGGGTGGTAGTTTCCAGAATTTTATGTATATCGGAAGTTGCAGTCCAAATTAATTGAGAGAACATCAAGTTGAGTACAATTGCTTTCAAGTTTAAATTATTTTATATTTTGACCCAATATTTTCTTCTATAACTGAAGGAGCCCTTTGCTTGGATACTACTATCAGTAGCATAAAGATACTGTCCACATTAGCAGTGATAATCCTCATGTGAGATGTTCTAGATGTAACAACAAGGTAGACAGTAGGAATTGTGGAAAGGGGGATATTCTGAAGAATTGATTTCCTGGGCCAAGAGATCCCTACTGTCGCTCACATTTAGGACTGCTTACTGCATGGATGAGTAGCAATATGTGGATAGCCCTTTCTTATGGTATTGTGAATGAGCTCCAGGAATGTGGAGGAAAGGCCATATGAAGGGGCGGATCCATCTAGTGAAATAATCTAAACATTTAAACATTAAGCAAAATGTGCAATTACACAGGGTTAATGTAAAAGCTCTTTTGCATGTAGTTAAGTTGATTTGTGCGTGTTCTCATTGAAGCCTGTAGTACTCTTGATGTTTCGGTTTCCCATTCACTAAAAAGAACTGACAAGATAGTATCCTATCTTCTTTTTTCATACCACTTTATTTTCATCCTATTGTCATCTGTTAACTGGAGACTTACCCTGATAAAGAACCAATTTCATTCAGCTGCTTCTCCCCTACTCCAAACCTGGATTTTAACATTCCATTGAAGTGATTATTTTTTCATTAAGTACAATAAAATGTCAATTTCACTCTTAGACACTCAGATAAATTAACCCATTATAGCTAAGTTTCTTTCTGAAGCAGTTCCCATTTGCATACTTAACCTGGAAGGAAGCTGGGGTGACTAAATGGCTTTTCAGTAAAGATACTTTCTTAGGGATGCATGACATTCACATGTTCACTAAACCTTTTTGGTGTATCAGATTAATTTTTGACTGATGTTTTTTCAGATGAGTTGCCACCACGGAGTCTTGAATCTAGCCAAGAGATATTTCGCTCTGGGTTCCAGATGTGTGCCAAAGAAGTGTTACAATACCTGGCCAAGCATGAAAATGCCAAGGATCTGAAATCATCTCAGTTCATGACCCACCTACACAGAATGGCAGAAGCTCTGCAGAGTGGAATCAGCCGAAAGTCTGGAGACGCCACCCCAAAGCTTACAGATCTGAAGGATAAATCTCCATGTCTGACCAAAGCTGCTGAGGCACATGGGAAAAACTGTGTGCCTGTGATTCAGAGGACTTTTGCCCACTCCAGCGGAGAGCAGAGTGGCAGCGACACAGACACAGACAGTGGATATGGGGGCGAGCTAGAAAAAAGTGACTCTAAATCTGATCCACAGTATTTTAAAAAGGACACGGAGCTGAAGTACACTGCCCAAGAGAGAGTCACTTCTATTAAACAAGAAAACGAGGATCCACCAGCAAAACGGACCAGGATGGACATGTCAGAGGATGAAGACCATTTTAGTAGTAATGTGCTTGGCTCTTCCTCCAACAGCTTCTTAGGTCCTCATCCCCACCAACCTCCCCTCTGTTTGCCTTTTTATGTTTTCCCTCCCTCAGCGACAGCCTATCTGCCCATGTTGGAGAAGTGTTGGTATCCGGCCTCTGTGCCTATTTTGTATCCAAGCCTCCCAACATCCACTGCAGCACTTTCAGGGTTAATGAACCCAGAGAAAATGTCTTCTCCTTTGCTATTGCCTCACCGACTCCCTTCACCTATACCGTCCCATTCCCCCATGGACTCTACAGCTCTTCTTCAAGCTTTGAAGCAGATGTCTCCTTTGGATCTGGAAACCAAAGACTAAACAAGGAGAGCCTCTCTTGTTCCATTTGGTTGAGTTTTGAAATTATTTTGGATTTCTCCCCCCATTCTAAACAGTGTGTGTGGGGGGCTACGTGCCCAAGTCCTAGAAAAGATTTCAAAGATGCATCCCAGTTAGTGAAAAAGAGGAGAGGTGTGTGTTTTACTGCTAAATTAAAATAATGTTTGGATATGCTTTTACCTTTCAGCTATCTGAAAAACCTTAAATCAGCTAGGATTATACTTTGAAGCTGTGAAAGAAAACAAAAAGATTAAACAGATTTAAAGAGCGTGCAGAAAGAAAAATCTGGTGTGTCTGATGAGGACTTTTCAGGTAATGATCTCGAGAAGCAAAAATTCAGAATTGGATACAATGGCTTCAGTAGCCTTCTGGCACCACCAATATCTGAGATCTTAACATCGAGATACATAACATTTTTATAGCATTGCTATGAATCCTTACAGTAACAGTCATTGGCTAGTAAAGCATAATAAGTAATTCAGGGAGATTTTGAATCTAGTTTCTTGCCTATTTCAGCTCAACAAAATCTCCTCCGTCTGCCCCAAATACTGTCTGGAAGTTTTGTTTAGTTTGAGCTGCTAGATAGGTACTACTCTGAGGAGGCCATTTTGAAAAAAAAAACCATATACTTTCTTTTCCTTATTGCAGACATTGTTTCTCCTAATTTCTGGACAAAAGCCTCTGGGATATTCACTAGGAAAGGACATTGGCTACCATAATAATTAGTTACTGGTCCACTTCTGGCCAACATAAAGTGTCATCAGGTTGCTGCTTTGATATGGGAATGGCTGTTACTCTGGATCCAAGTCTGTTGTGAAGTATTAATAGAATCCTATTGTCTGCTTGGTTCTCAGTTTTTCCCCAAGTGTTGTACTACCTGAAAATAATCAAATATATTTTCTATTTTAAAGTGGTTTCATATCTGTAGTTGAACATATATAGCTTCATTCTTCTGAATGCTAATATAAACTGGTATCTTAATCAACACCATAAAACACATTATAATTTGACACAACAGAGGCCTTACTTGGAATATTTTGAGATAACTGGTAGTAGCCCTTAACATGACCATATTATGCAAATCCAGAGCCATTTCAAACATATCCTTTCAGCATCTTCTTCCTAGACCTGCAGGGATCTGAGTGTAGCATTTTATATTTGAACCAGAGACAGTTTTCTTGGTTATAGCAAAAACTGGAGAAGTGGGAGCTGATGAGAGAGAGAGAGTGTGTGCGTGTGTGTATGTGTGTGCATCATAGTTCCCTACCCACACTCATCCATTCAGGGCAGTACAAAAATTCTCTTAACAAAGCTAAAGTTTCTAGTTAGGGCAGAAAAGTATAAGTTCCCTCTGCATAAGTTGAGCGAAACATTTTTGATAAGACAATTTCCTGCCAAGGTTGGTTATTGAAATAGGATTTGAGATTGTAAGAAGCAGATGCGCAACAATCTCTTGGTAAGGAGGAAGCCACCTCTTCCTTGCATGGTTAAAAAAAGAGTGTGGTATGATTTTAGGATAAAGATCAGATGTGATATTCTGGGGCTTCATTTTGCAGTCTAAGAACCACAGCCACTCCCAGGGATGAATTGCGGGTCGTGGATTGTGGTCTTTGCCTCCTGCTTGTCATCTTGGTTACTGGAGCATGACAGTGCGAGGGAGATGCCTGCCATTTTCCTGGAAGATGGACAGCAGAGCAACCCGGCACAATAGAAAAATTGCCAACCTATAAATTGACCCTAGATGAAACACATCCTGCAGGAAAAAAGAATCCACCATGATTCTGAATATTAAAGTTTTGAAAGATCAGGTGAAATGGCGGTATTAGTAATTTGTTTTGAGAAAGGCCGTACTGTCCTTTGATTTTCACTTATATTGCACCAACTGCTAGAATGCACTATGCTCAATTACAGGTTGTGTTTGACCATTTATATTTTATTGTTGGTTTGAAAAAAAAAAACCACAGTTTTTGTACACAGTTGTTGCCTTTCTTTGCAAAAAAAAATCTATTATAAATGTGTACATATGCATATTCTATGTTTCAGAAGTCTATTATTTGTAAAACTACTTGAGTTCAAAGAAAGTGGGAAATATGAATGTATTCCTGTTTTTTCTTTTCTTTTTAAGGAGGGGAATGTCTTGTTCTTCCTCTCGGGAGAAATAGAGTGTTTATATTTTTGGAACCTTCTTGAAGGTGGTAGAGTGTAAATATTTTTATCAGAGTAAAAGTTAAGTAGTTGTTTAAAAAAATACTTAATAAAATTATTTTCCTGTGGAACTTGAGTTCTTGTTCCTCTTTGTGTCTGAAGAACCTGTTGATAGTAAGGCAGAAGTATCTAAGGTGGATCCGTACATCCGTACTTGTATAGAAATAGAAAAACAATCTAATTTGAGTTTAGGTACACTTAACTGGACTTTACTGGAACAAAAGGCCAGCTAAGGTGATAAGATGGGCATTGGTGTTCCCATACCATCAAAGGACTACATGTCAGCTTCCCATGTGGCTCACTTGCACTATTGTAAGAATGTAATCATGTGCCTCCCCGCTCCCTTTTTTTAATGAAAGACACAGGGTTACAGTGGCCTCATGTTCTATGCATTGTTTTGTTTCTATTTCATGTGATAACCAATGTTCTTGGGCCAATTACAAAGCTATGTAAAATGGGAAAAGGAACTTTTTAAAAAAAAGATTAACAAGTAATAGAAACTACAAGTACTATTGTTTTATGTTTTGTTTTTGTTTTATTAGATTTATATACTGCCCTACTCCCGAAGGACTCAGGGCGGTGAACAGGCACAAAATAAAATACAGAGATACAAAAGTTAAAAACATAATTAAAACCAGATTAAATAATTTAGCCCGAGACAATTAAAAATCCCAATAATTTAAAACAGATTAAAATTTCGATTTAAAAGAATTTTAAAACGGGGGAGAAAATTAGGCCAGGCTGGCTTGCTAGAATAGGAGAGTCTTAAGAGCACGGCGGAAAGTGCGCAGATCCGGGATCCTCAGTATCTCTGGGGGGAGCTCATTCCAGATAGTGGGTGCCCCCACAGAGAAGGCCCTCCCCCTGGGGGCCGCCAGTCGACATTGTTTAGCTGACGGCACCCAGAGGAGCCCCTCTCTATGAGAGCGTACCGGCCGGTGGGAGGCTGCTTGTGGTAGTAGGTGGTCCTGTAAATAACCAGGTCCCAAGCCACGGAGCGCTCTAAAGGTGGTGACCAAAACCTTGAAGCGCACCCGGAAGACCACCGGGAGCCAGTGCAGCTCGCGCAGGAGAGGTGTCACACGGGAGCGCCATGTTGCTCCCATAACCACCCGCGCGGCCGCACTCTGCGCCAGTTGGAGCTTCCGGGTGCTCCTCAAGGGGAGCCCCATGTAGAGAGCGTTGCAGTAGTCCAGGTGGGAAGTGACGAGGGCATGAGTGACTGTGTAGGGAGTCCTGATCCAGAAAGGGATGCAACTGGCGAATCAGGTGAACCTGATGAAAAATCCTCCCGGTCACGGCCATCAAGTGCTCTTCTAAAGACAGCCATGAATCCAGGAGGACACCCAAGTTGCGATCCCTCTCCGTGGGGGCCAGTGATTCGCCCCCAATAGTCAGCGATGACATCAACTGACTATATCGGGACATCGGAAACCACAGCCACTCGGTCTTGGATGGGTTGAGCCTGAGCCTGTTCCTCCCCATCCAGATCCGCATGGCCTCCAGACACCGGGACATCACTTCAAGGGCATTGTTGGGGTGGTCCGGGTTGGAGATGTACAGCTGGGTGTCATCAGCGTACTGATGGTACTTCACCCCGAAACCATGGATGATCTCGCCCAGCGGCTTTACATAAATGTTGAACAAAAGGGGCGAGAGGACCGACCCTTGTGGCACCCCAAATATGAGGGGCCTCGGGGTCGACCTCTGCCCCCCTGCCAACACAGACTGCAACCCTGCAACTGACTATCCCGGCATAATGAGACATTATTTTAGATGTCTGCAAGATTTGCCTGGAAGAAGAAGGTGATTTTAGGATGATGTCAATGGGTTAATATGGCCACCTGGCCATGTCTCGTTGAGGTAATTCCATAAGCTGGGGCCCTCGGGGACCTCACCCTTGTTACCACATACCTAACTTTAGTTGTCAAAAGATCCCAAAGGATAACCTTCAAGGACGAATGAAATATTTGACCAGCTACATATCAGACACATTATCATCCTCTCCCTTTAAAAATCGAAAAAACAAGAAATACTCTAAACGGAGCTCCAAACTTAAGTCTGGTAAAAACACAAATGGCATAAGAAATAACTCATGAGCTTTTGGCACCTGAAAGACAGATTGAGCATTTGCTTGGGTTACTTTTTTCACTATTATATTTCTACTTAAATTGTAATTATTTCTGAATTTCACGTATATCCAGAAATGTTACCTACCTCTTGACTATCTTTTCTGCATTGCTACTTTTTTTTTTTTTTTTGGTGAAACACAAGTGGTCGTCCTGTTTTTGCTATCACTGTCCCTTCAGAATGAACTGCCCTGCATATCATTTTTGCCTTAAAGGCATGTCCTTGCCTCTAAATGTGAAGGAAAGGCAAAAGTGTTTCAGAAGGAACAAAAGGCAGAGCCCATCCCCCTTGGTGCCAAATAGTGGCGCCACTGAACTATAGCAAGACAAGCTACTGCTTGCAGAACAATCATATCAGCAGATCTTCCTAGCTTACCTCAATGGCAAGCCAATTTTTCCATTGGCTCACCTCTAAATACTTCACTATTCACTCAAATCACATTCAGAACTGAAATCCTTACATGGTAACTCCAAACACTTTGTCTATGGAGATTTTCAGTCATCCAGGTCATGGTTGTCCCAAAGGTGCTTTTTTTCAGGAGGCAATTGGATTTTCTGGTTTTTCTTTGAAGACATTTCGCTTCTCATTCAAGAAGCTTCTTCAGCTCTGACTGCATTCTGCATTCCCCACCATCCAGTCAAAGCTGAAGAAGCTTCTTGGATGAGAAGCTAAACGTCTTCAAAGAAAAATCAGAAAGTCCAGTTGCCTCTTGAAAAAAAGCACCTTTGGTCCAAACACTTTGATTTTCTTATATTTTCTTTTCTCTCTCTCTCTCTCTCTCTCTCTCTCTCTCTCTCTCTCTCTCTCTTTTTGTATTCTATCAATAGAGAATTTGTTGTAGTGGTTCAGGTGCCAGATTAGAGATGTAATTCCACCTTAGACACAAAGCTAGCTGGGTGATCTTGGACCAGTCACACTCCCTCAGTCCTAAGAAGGAGTACCACTTCTGACATCATGCCAAGAAAACTAAAAGCATGAATACAGGCAGTTACAGTAGCAGGAGTCAATACTGACTTGAAGCCACCAAAAAATAGAATAAAAATCTTGATATGACAAGATTTGGCCTATGGGCTCATATGAGTAAGTGTAACCTAAACCAACTCACTTTTTGAGACTTGGGCCCCTGGAATTCAGAAGCAAAAAGTCATCAGTGATCCAAAAGCAAAAAGATTCTGATGAAATTGAAGGACCTGCCCGTCCATTGCTGTTACAAGGTATGCATCTGCTTTCTATGTAGTTGATGGTTTCAAATCACACCTGTCACATTAAAAGGAATCAAAGTTGGAAGTTACCAGGCACACAGCTCAATGTGGCAAGTTCCAACCTATCTAAAATAAATTTATAAAATAAATATACTTCATAGCAAGCAATACATGATTAAAAAGACATATCTCTAAATACCAATCCAGCATGCTTTCTCGATTCATCAGGCTGAGCTAAGTAGGAAAGAGTTTAATCCATAATTTCATTCCAGTCCAAAAGCAGATAAAAAACAATTCCAAATAAAGGGTGATATTTTCAAAGAGGCTGCCACAGTTTGAACTACGATAACAAAGCAGACAAAGTTGAGTTATAGACTCAGCTAGCCCTTGAAATGCACAAAACTTTCAGCCTCCATCTGAGTACATCTAGAACTGGTCAGCTCTGAAGATCAGCAAGACTCCTAGAAGACCACTAAATGTCTATGGAGAATCTCAGTCATCCAGGTCATGGTTGTCCCAAAGGAGCTTTTTTCAAGAGGCAACCTTAAAGCAAAACTGAGTGCTTATTTCAAAATCCACCTCTGGCACTTGCTCAGGGGTGAAATCTACTTACCTTCCCTACCGGTTCGGAAGTGCACGTGCCATGCATCGCATGTGCGTGTGGACCCTCTGCGCATGCACAAACCCTTCTGCGCATGCACAGAGGATAAAAAACAGGTTACTTCCTAGTTAAAACTAGGAAGTTAAAACTAGGAAGTAACGACAACTGGGCAGGTGGGCAGAGCCTCATGCTGCCGTTGCTACCGGTTCTCTGAACCACCCGCCGCCATCACTACTGGTTCGACCAAACCGGTCTGAACCGGTAGCATTTCACCCCTGCACTTGCTCCTCTTTTGTTATTTAAACCTCTAAGCTTCTGAAATCAAGGAGAGAAAGATCACACTTAATTTAAATCAGTGTTTTTTTTTAACTTGGCAATTTTAAGATGTATAGACTGCAGAGTTCCCCAGCCAAGTTTAAAACATATTCAAAAATTGCCAACTTTGAAAAACACATTTTTTTAAAAAAAAAGTTGTTGTGTTTACCATAATATAGGTGGGAGGCATGTGCTGCCTCAGAAATAGCCATGCTGGTTTCAGAGATCATCGCCAGAGGTGGTATTCAGCAGGTTCTGACCAGTTCTGGAGAACCAGTAATGGAAATTTTGAGTAGTTCGGAGAACCGATAAATACCACCTCTGACTGGCCCCGCCCCCATCTATTCTCTGCCTCCTGAGTCCCAGCTGATCAGGAGGAAATGGGGATTTTGCAGTAACCTTCCCCTGGAGTGGGGTGGGAATGGAGATTTTACAGTATCCTTCCCCTGCCACGCCCACCAAGCCACGTCCACAGAACCGATAGTAAAAGTTTTTGAATCCCACCACTGATCATCGCTATAAATTTTACAACACACTTCCATTATTTGTCTGGACAGTAACGAATGTATTGCTTTCTCTCTAAAAGGAAATGGTTCTAGGCAGCTGCACTAAGTTCAATTTGATATGAGGTTCCTGTATTACTTTGTTCACCCTAGATAACTCTGAATCGATTTTATAACTTTAGTTTCAAATCCTAGTCTCTCTCACAGAAGATGTTTATTTTTAAGTCCCCTGTTTTAAGTGCTCTGTTGGCATTGGCGTTTTTCTTTGCAGACATACATTCACGCTGTTAATAACCATTTCTTTTGACTCAAAAGATTCC